CCCCCTTTAGACGTAAGCGATTTCGGGCGCGCTTGGAATGGACGCGACAAGAACGCGTGATAAAACCTTGCGTTTAAAAATAAAATCGTGTGCCGACTTAGCACTTGTCCAGCCCAGTACAGACTTGTCAGTTGTCACCCGTACCAAAACCGTCGTGTTATCTTTAGACACACCTGCTTGACCAGGCGCGCTTAACCTGCACGACATTTTTTTATTTCGTTTTTAATTATGATTAATTACGATTTTTCGAGCACCTGTTGGTGAAAAAATTATTAAAAAATTATCCACTCAGGTAAAATTAATCTCCTCGGTATCAAATAAAAGCAACAGTTTTAAATTTTTCCAAAATATTAAAGTTTAAGGTTTTTGGTTTTACAAGATAAATAAACCAAAAATTATGTTATATAATTTTGAATTTCGTGTTTTTGAAAACCAAAGATTGATTTTAAATTAGGTTTATATTATGTTTTGTATTTATTTTCAATATCTTGACCATAATACTCATGTACGATCCTGTACAGACTTGTCCCATGAGTGATCAGACACACTAGTTTGAACGAGCTTGTGCTTAACCAGCACGCACTTCGATTTCGTGTCTCGAGTACCGTACAACAAGTTTTGTTTCCGGCTTGCTATAGGTATTAGCATATTTACCATATTTCAACTAAACATTTTTTTATAATATTATTATAAATAATTACTTTTTTTCTTAAAAAATTATAAAATTTTAAATATGAGCGATACACGTTATTGGTCTAAAGAATTCACGACGACTTTTTTAGAAAAATATCATGAATTTCCTTGTCTTTGGAAAATTAAATCCAAAGAATATTTAAATAAAAATTTAAAAACATCAGCGTATGATGAATTAGTGGAATTGTGCAGACAAATTCAACCTGATGCAAACCGTGACTTTGTGGTTAAAAAAATCCAGGGTTTCCGAGGTTCCTTCAGGAAAGAACTCAAAAAAGTGATGAGTTCAAAACGCTCTGGCAATGGACATGACCAAGTGTATGAGCCAACTCTCTGGTACTATAATTTATTACTTTTCACCATCGACCAAGAAACGCCATCAGCAAGTTTATGCAACATTTCCGAAAGTTTCCCTGAAGTGACAAATTTAGATCAGAATAATGAAAATGATGTAAGTATTTACATTTTATTTATTTTTAATATTCCTTGACTATAAATTATTTAGCAAAGAAACATAATATAATTAAATTACATAATATAATATAATCAATAATTGTATATAATTTAAATATAAATATTACCTATGGGCTATGGGCTATGAGTCGTTAAAAAATGTCATACCTTGAAACATTTTAATTATTGGTAATTATTTTGAAAAATATGATAATTAGGTACATAATATTAATAATAATAACTATAATAATTATATTTTAATTTCAACTGTAATTTTTGTACCTTGGACATTGTATTGGATTAATTAATTAATTAATAAACCTATAAAACAATTAATATTAATATTGGTACACTTATACAAATTAAACACTTGAGAAAATTACTATTAATTATTTTATCTATGTAAAAATTATAAGTTCAAATCTAAAAAATATGTCCTTTCATATTAGGCTCTTCCCGCTTTCAAAATATCGTCTTGCCATTCCACGGAACCTCCGTTGTTAAAAAAATCTTTATAATTTTCACGGTTCATTTTTGCAAGCATTGACACAGATGTATTACGTGGAGGTTGTAATCCATGTAATTCAGTATTGGTATCTCTCCATTCACCATTTTTTAAAATACTATGGCCATCTTCTCTGTCAAACGTAGAACTTGAAATGTACGACCCGCCGCGTTTTCTTAAAAAATTATGCAAAACGCATATAGCTAATACTATGTGAATAGCTTTTTCCGGTGCTAAATGTATAGCACTTTGCAATATCCTAAATCTTGCTGAAATCAAGCCAAATGCATTCTCCACACAATTCCTAGCCCTTGACAATCGATAATTAAAAATTCGTTTTTCGTATGTCAATTCTCTTTGAGAATATGGTTTTAAAATATTCTCATGCAAGGAAAAAGCTTCGTCTGCGAGAAAAACATAATTTAGATTTTTTACAGTAACATTGTTTTGGGGGAGCCCTAATTTTCCTTGGATTAATAAATCGTGAAATAATGTAGTTTCAATTATTCCACCATCCGATATTCTTCCGTTTTTGCCTACATCCACGTATATAAATTCATAATTGCTGTTAACAACAGCCATCAACACAATGCTATAAAATCCTTTATAATTATAAAATTGAGCGCCTGATTTTGGGGGCTGAACAATTCGTATATGCTTGCCATCGATTGCACCACCGCAATTGACAAATTGCCATTGATTTTGAAAATCAGTGGCAATATTTGTCCAATCATCCGAATTTGAAGGGAACTGTTTAAAAAAAAAAAAAAATATTGAAACTATTAAAATTATAATTAAGTACTTGGACAGAATTTGTATTGTTTTTATTATTCGATAAACTGTTAAGAATTATAAAGGAAACTTCAAACGCTCCTAAAAATTTTATTTGACTTTCCTGTAAATATATTATTATTTTTTTAAAGGTTGACATTTTTTGGAGAAAAATTGTATTAAATGTACAATCCTTAGATATAAAAGTTGAACATTTTATATATTTTTTAACTACAAAGTAATTATTAAATTTTAAATTTGATAAATTTTGTCAAAATTCTAACTTTAAATATTTATAAAAAAAATTGTGCCTATTTATTTTTAACATTTTTTAACTGCTATTATAATAATATATCAGGAGCCTTGCATTAAATTTTCACGCTTATTTAACCAACAAATAACATTTTATTGATATTTATAGAAAAAAAACTAAAAAAATTGAAAACTGACAATGTCCGTAAACAGCTCAAAAATAGTCAAATTATTTTCAAAATTTTATTGTGTATAGAAAATGCTAATATAAACATTCAGTGAAATTTTCAAGTATCTACAGTCATTTGTTTTTTAATTACAACAAAATATGAAAATCGTTACATGAAAAATCGAGTGCATATCAAATGTTGTAAAAATATGAATTTCAAACGCTCATAAAAATGTAATTTGACTTTTTTGTAGGCATTTTTTTTTTTTTGATAAAGGTACTTATGGGAAATCTTGTATTACATTTTCAAATCTTAAATTTAAAAAGAAATTTTTTTATGAATTTCTAACTCAAAATAATTTGCAAATTTTCGTAAAAATATTTTGAAATTGTTAGGGTGTATAGAAAATGTTAATATAAACATCCAGTCAACATTTCATGTTTTAGAGTTACACCAAAAGTCAAAAAAACCTATTTTACGTGAAAATGTCCGTTTTTCCTTAATTTTTTAAATATAAATATAAATATAAAATTTGAATGATGGTTACCCCTATCTTTGTCAGCCAGTCATAAAAAAAAATTCTCTTCAGTTATCTTGCACATAAAATAAAATAAATTATAATTTTATTATAACAATAATTATTAAAATATATAGGTATGAGTATTACACACTGTATACCTAGGTACTATATAATATGTATTAGGTATTCTACATAATAATTTTATTTAGGTGCCAGAGTTGGAAGATGGCTCTACAAATTTAGAAAAGGTTGATGATCAACCGTCAACTTCCAAGTTTTTTCCTGTTTCACAACCCCAGAAAGTAAACACAAATAAAAAAAAACGCACTGTGGATGAATTTATGATGGCATGTACTCAGGCTTTGAGTAAAAATACGGAAATAGATGAATATGATGCAGTTGGAATTAATGTAACTAACAAGTTAAAAAAGATGGATAATAAACAAAGCATTTATGCTGACCTTCTAATTAACAAGATTCTATGTATAGGTTTGTTGGGAACATTAACACCTGCCACTGATATATATGAGCCGGTAGGAACTATCCGGAATGACGAAATATATCTCAGCCACTTACAGAACACTACACCTGATACGGCCATGACTCAAATAAATTATGATAGTCAGAATCTGACTCAGCATCTGATGCATCCACCTCCTTTAAACTATTCTTCTATGAATTCTATCAGTTCAGCTTCACCTTACGACTATTCTCATCCGACAACAAGTGTTGGTGATCTAGACTCATCCTTAAATAGTTCTTAGGACCTTATTATAATTTTGCTTACTTATGATTATCATTTTTATTATTATTCAGTTTATAATTTGCAAAAAGGTATTGCAATTCTTTCAAAAACAAAATTTAAAATGTATTATTATTATTATTATTATAAATGATTATTATTACTTATTATTATTTATTATTATTCGGCTTATAATTTGCAAAAAGGTATTGCAATTCTTTAAATAACAAAATTTAAAATGTATTATTATTATTATTATTATTATAAATGATTATTATTATTTATTATTATTTATTATTATTCTGTTAATAATTTGCAAAAAGGTATTGCAATTCTTTAAATAACAACATTTAAAATGTATGCAAGGAAATATTTTATTATTTTTGGATTTGATTTTAACATAAATTTTAATTAAAATGTAAATTGTTTTACCTTCATGTAGTCTGCTCTAAGTGCTTCATAAATTGCTTTACACGTCTCCGGTATTATACTCGAAAGGCTTGGAGCAGATATTCGCGTACTGAACTTTAGGTCTTCATATGACCTCCCTGTTGCTAAAAATCGCAATGTAGCAACTAACCGTTCTTCTGAAGTAATAGGTTCACGCATAACTGTGTCTTGCTTTTTTATTGCTGGACCTACTATCTTCAATAAGTAATCAAAATCTTCACTGTCCAATCTTAAGTAGTTTTTAAAATCGTCCGGATCATTTTGACGAAGCTCGCGTAATAAAACCATATCACTGAATTTTTCCCGGTTTAACTTCCAGGTTTTAACCCACTTGGAACGTTTATTTTTGTTTAAGGAATTCAAATATACTTGTAAACCCATATAGCAAATAGCAATTTTTTTTTGCTTTAATTTTAACATGATTATAACTATAACTATAATTTATAACCTATAAAAATAATAAATGTAAGTAAGTACAGTATGAAACGTTCTTCACAACTGAACACCAGGACATAACAGCAGTGACTGCAAAGGAACACGAGGTTTGGTAAGAAAATCCCGCGAAAACTGTGTGAAATACACACACGCCACGCGCAATTCCAATCGCGCGTGAAAACGCAGAGTTTTAGCCTTTACACGGACGCTCTTGATACCTAGGTGCAAAAGGATAGGTAAAGCACGCATGATTGGCGTGTGCTAGTTGTAGGAAACACAGTTTTGGCGCGTCACGCGCGAAGAACGTTTTAAAAATCGCGCTCCAGGCGCGTCCATTCCAAGCGCGCCCGAAATCGCTTACGTCTAAAGGGGGTTATTGGTCGTATGTATCATACGATACATTTCTGAATTATCACCTTATCGGCTTAGCATATTCGTATTTTCAAATTTGTATTTTTGTATAATATTTAAATATTTGTACCTAATGTAATGATGTCCTAATTGTCATTTGTCAGTAGGTAGTAATATTAGGTAGGTACTTACTCAGTAATTTACAAAAATATTTATTTAATACTTCTGTTGGTTCGAAAACATAGACCTCCGAACCTAGATGTATTCGTTTATTAGTGATCATTAAATGTACGGTAACATACCAAAAATAAAACGCGTGAAATTACCTATTTAATAAATTTTTGTATTTTTTGTTTATCATATTTTTTAAATTGCTTATTTACAATTTCTTTATTTAAATTGTTTAACCGTATATAAGTCCTCGTACGAACTAGACATTTGATGACTTCATCCGGTATGTTTAAATGTTTAATATTTTTTTCAAATATATTACTTAAATTTTTTATTATATTAGGTGTTTTCAAAAGGCTGTCTCCGTGAAACGCATTGAAATCTACCTCTAATTGTTCAATTGCTTTTTCGAGGCTATATGAAGGCGTTTTTAGATTTCCTTTTGAAATAGGTACATTGTGTCCAACTGTTTGATTGCTGGCTATTATCAGTATGGCTAATCAAATGTGGATATTTACTTGAAAAACGATTAGCCACATATCCGGCTACATATTGAGCACATTCTTTCTCCAGTTCACTGAATGGTTCTTCAGTTTCCATCTGAAAAGTAAGAGTTAAATTTTATAATTGAATTTTAAAGCTATCAATTTTTAATGTATGCCTCAAATTGTTTAAGGAGATCAAAATTTGATTTTGATACAACTGTTTTCATTGAACCTAAATGCCCTTCTACTTCTGCTGTGTTTTCAAATTCTGAAGGCTGTTGTAGATCAGTCAACAGTTGAGAAGTTAAACACTCGTGGTCATCTAAAGTTAACAGACTGGTTTCAAGACTACCTTCTGTATTGTTGTTTTCGGTGAATACCAAATCTGAGTATTTACCCAATATATACCAACGCAAGCTACAATATACACAATAATAATAGTTATCATAGAGTATTGTCAAGAGTTTCATAGATATCATAATTATACCTAAATTTTTACATAATTTTGTTACATAATGTAAGTAGTTACCAGTATTTAAAATCTAAAACAGTTATATTGTTACTGGCACTCCCAGCCATTCCCTTTAAAAAGCTAAACAAGTTTTCTAAAATGTACTGGTTCAGCTTTCTTGTTAAGACATATTGAAGTCCATATACATTTTTCAGGTCTTTCATCAAATTTTTTAGGGATATGTTGCTGACTAAAATTCCTTTATGTATGTTAGAGAATAGTAGGGTTAACAAATAAAAATACATTATTAGTTATGAATTATTAGAAATAAATAGTAAAAAATATTACCCTTTTGAAAAGGAAGAAGTGATTTCTTGCCATGAACTCTCATATGTTTAATGAAATTGTTCATTTTCTCAATTAGCTCATTTTGAGTTTGTTCATTAAGCCCATAACTCTCTACACCTTTATCGTACTTATTTTGAGTATTTAATAAATCGAACCATTCATTGAATAATGAAATGATATCTGCAGCCTATTTCAAATAATAAACACTTAATTGGTCAGCAAAGTAATATAGCATTAACTATATAACTTGATAATAATTATTCGGTTATATGTATGAGCTTAAGGTATATTAACGTTCCGTATACATTAGAGACGTACATTACATTATATTATCTCCATTCACCCACTGAGAAAACATTGTTTCCCAATTAAAAAATTATTATACTTACATCTCTCCTGTTATATGTATTTAAATCTCCCTTTTCTCCACAAAATGTGATTGCTTTAGCTACAGTGTTGGAAAGCAACTGAGCAGCCAGTTTCACATTCATCCGTCCTGTTCCCTCAACCAACAAATGACGGCTAGTAACTTTATGAGCTAATTTATAGTCATGTCCTGAGTTAAGGTTAATTAATTCTTCAAATATATTTTTCCCAATATATTTACCATTAGGAAGAATAAAACCTCTGAATAAAATATTAGTGTTTGGATATTTTATAATTACATTTAATGATTTAAAAATTAACTTCATACTTATCAAGTAAATGATTCCTGGCTAACTTCAGCAAATGGGGTACATCTGCAAAGACGTAAACTTGATTTTTTGATATGGGATGTTCAAATGAGGTATTATCTACAGATATATTTAAACTATTCCATAGCCTCATGTTAGTTGAACCCATGTCACTAACTATAGAAATTACGGATATACGTCATTTCGTCGCGGTAATTTTGTCGCACGTCAATTCGTCGCGGTCAATTGGTCGCAAGACAATTGGACGCATACGACATTTCGTCGCGTGTAATATCGACGCATGCTACATTTGGTCGTGCGTCATTTTATCGCATATAGGTATATTCTAAATAATAATGATAATTTTACATATCAGTCATTTTAGCTTATTGTTATATCTATATATATAAAAATGGAGACAAAAAATTCGAAATTGCATCAGTTGAGAACGGCTGGGCCGATTTTGCTCAAATCTTTTTTAAATGATAGAGAATGTCGGGGAGCGAGTTTTTACGAAAGAAAATTTTTAAAATGTCAACCGAATAATTAGAAAAACTGCAAAAACTATTTATTGATGTCTGGGATTTGAACTCGATACCGTTGTCTTTATTTACTCTATGGTGTATTATATTATATTGATTGCTATTGGTTAATCGGGCATGTTTGTTGATTTGTATTATTATTTTTTGTCAATATATCTTATATATGAATGAATGATTGTGTGTAGATTAGACCTATGGGAAGAAGATACCCTAATTTAAATAGGGTTAAATTTGGTTTTTTTTATTCATCGGATTTTAGTACGGTTAGGTTAGGTTAGGATTTATAGGTAGGTGGAATTAAGTAAAAACGTTAAACTTGGTATAACTTTGGTACTTTTTGAGTTAAATCATACACTTACGTACAAACAGCACGGAGTCCACGATCTACCACGGGTAGATTGCCTACCTGATAATATACTGCTGCGAAACAGAATTTTTATTCCGGGCAACAGAAAAGTTAAGATAAATCTATAACATCATACACCGAATATTAAATAACGCATTGAACAATGTTTGAGTCATATAGAGTTGGTACATTTAACGGGAAACGAAGTGCAGGGGATCAGCTAGTATATTGGTATTTTTTCACCTCATGAATTAAAAGATCATGCCCTCGTTGACTTTTTATAAATTGTAAAGGCATAATTTTTATATTTTGTAAAATATATAGTAATTGTTATATTGCGTGGACCAAGCAAGACGTATATATACGTAGACGTGTATAGGTGGTACTGTATAACACTATAATCGGCAGAGAGTAGAGACTCGTGATGACTGATGAGTAGGTACACTGTAATAATTCGAATATTCGATAAAGACTCACGTAAAAACCAAATAATGAATTACCTACTGAAATAAAAATAAATAATAAAGAAGGTAGGTACTACACCACTACCACTAAATTATAAAGATACTATAGAATTATTAAATATATTATATTATTAAATGTTCCTACCCAAAAAGACAAGGTAATCTATTTTATCTAATACTAGCTAAATACCTATATAAATATATGCGATTAAATGACGCGCGACCAAATACAGCATGCGTCGATATTACACGCGACGAAATGTCGTATGCGTCCAATTGTCGTGCGACCAAATGACCGCGACGAATTGACGCGCGACGAAATTACCACGACGAAATGACGGGATACCAGAAATTACATTAAAGCCAACGTTATGCAACTGCTCTATAATTTGGAATAGTAACTCTTTTGACATTTTTTTGTCATAACCGTAATATATTGGTTGTTTCCAATTATTAACTAACGCTATTACAGAAATAAAATGTATAGTATTTTAATAATACAAATATATAATCATTTTATTTGTATTTATGATAAAATATTGAAATGCAATATATACCTCAAACAATAACGGTTTGAATACATTTATGTGGTCCAATAACACGTTCATTTTTCTTATCGAAACATATTCTGTTTGATACATATGTTTCATCGAAACATATAACTGATAATTTTTCAGTTTCATTCATGAAATCTCCTTAAAAATGTAATAATTAATTAAGTTCAGATAATTTAAATAATAAGTATTCTGAAATTAACACCTTAAGAATTTTAATCAGTTAAGAACAAATGAATAATTATCATTCTACAATTCTTATGTGAGTATATTATTACCTTTAGCTTTCATTAGGGATAGAACACTAAAAAGTATTCCATCTTCAATACAAAATCTTGCAGCCCATGTTCTGAGGGTAGACAGACCTTAAAAATATTATTTAAATATTTGATACAATTTTAAAAACTCAAAGGAAACTCAAACTAAACCAATTTTATTAACCTGGTAGTGGAAAATTTTTTTTGGTCCTTAAATATCGGTATGCCTTTGGAGAAATACTCCTTATTGTAATGGCACTCGAAATATCTTCAGGCGTCCAACGGTACACCTTTTTTGTAGGATGAAGAAACAAATTAACCTGAGTAGGTGTAAAATGTTTT